GGCTTCATGCTCTGGAGAGGACACTCCTCAATTCAGAGCATGTTACCATAGTCTCTCGAGACTGAAGGATGCCTATGATGATGATAGCTCTCTCACACAAAGAATCCAGTAGACTGAGCCACTAGTGCTATAGAAGAAGGGACAACTGAACCACCCAATAAAAACCAAGGTCTCCCCTGGATTTTCCAATGACTGAGAGGCTAAGGAGGGTCCAGGCTGAGGCCACTGCATCTTTGTCCTGTCAACCAGCAAAGTTTTCAAAACTTTACCTCTATATTACACTATTAAGATTGAGGGTGTCGATTAAAACGGAGTTGATGGATCACCCATTTAGGGGCATGGCATTTCCATGGTCATAGCCATTCATCTCTATCAGGGACACATTTTTAAAATTGAAAAAGAGATCCACAAACGCACACCCAGACTTGGCAATGATGTTAGAATGGTTCTTAAGGGGTGCAGGATGGGTCGGCCCAAAACGGGGGGCTTTTTATTTGGGTACAGAGAGAGCTGTGTGGCTTCTGCACCCCCTAAACTTTACTATGGACATTTCTGTACTGTTTTTTTTTTACACACACAGTAACTCATGCAGAAGACTTTGTGGCAAGAGGACCACAGAGAATAATTTGTAGAAAGGGATGATCACAGATTAACAAGCAACACTTTTCAAAACAGACATTGACCATCAGATTTTGGTTGTGCCAAGAAGACCACAGAGGATAATTTGCAGAAAGGGGCGATCACAGAGTAATAAGCAACAATTTTTGTCTTAAGAGTGGGGTGTGAAATTCCAGTCATAATAACACAGACGATGATGCTTGGTACCCCATCCCCCAGATGATGTTTGCAACCTAGTTCTCAAGTCACCTCTCAAAACAGACATTGACCATCAGATTTTGGACTAGAATTTTTCTGCACTATCCATGAAGCGCTGGTCCTCAGGCTTAGGAAGTTGACTCTTCTCCATGAAAGCTTGCATTTTGCTTGAATTTTTCATGGTCTAGGACAAGGTACGACACTCCCCCCCCCTTACATTTGTGGAACTCTGGTCTGTGCACCCTTTATACAGTCCAGACCCTGGCACACCCCTGACCACAACATTAAGTAAAAAAAAAAAAAGACCAAATGTAAAGGGAGGAGATCAACAAGTTATGCTCATCACTTCCCTAAAGCTTCTGTGCATTTCCATATTTGGCCTGTGTAGAATCAGTCACAAGAAACCAGGGTGGGAAAATGTCAGGAGAACATATGTTTCATCATACCAAATTATTTGAAGAAGAAAACAATGAACCTAAAAAGTTGAAGAAGCATTAACATAAATGCAACTGGTGAGCACGCCAACACTGGAGGCATCCAAGAGACATTTAGACAACCACCCTGGCAGATAACTTTTGCTTTGTACTCCTGCACTGAGCAAGCAGTTGGACGCGATGGTCTTCAAGGCTCCTTCCAACGTCACCATGATTCTATGAAAATTACGCCTCTAAATTCTCCAAAATTTTCTCCCCATCAAAGAGGCGTTTGAGTTGGCTGGCTGGTAATTTTTCCATTCCCCATACAGCCACTTTAGAATTCATTTTTGTCACCTTTATGAGATTTCCACGAGATCTGAGAGCACTTCATATGAATGAGCATTTAATAATAATCCTAGAATGGCAAAGATAGAAGGGACCCGGCAGGTCATCCAGTCCACCCCCCCGGTCAAGGAGGCCCAGTGGGGGAATCAAACTCCCAATCTCTGGTTCCACAGCTAGAGACCGAAACCAATATTTAGCAGCACACAGAGCTGCCCATACGGGTGTCTTTTCATGAGCTTTAACTGAAACACGCCACACCGGGGAGGCTGCAGAGCTCTAGAGGAAATAAATGCAGAAGAACCCCCTTTTCGAATAACACTACGAGCGGGGTACTTAAGATGCCATTTAGCTATCATGACAAAGAGCGGCGAACAGACCAATCCTCCATGAACTGATCTGATCATTTTTAAAAGCTGTCTAATCTAGTAGCTGTCACTGTGTCTCCGCCGTTGAATTTCAGAAGCTAATTATGCACCCTGTGAAGGTGTCCTTTTCTCTGGGACATCAGAAAAGTGCTGGAACCGATTACCTCTGGAGCCCTGGTCTGATGAGCTTCTCCACAACGTTTTATAAGCTTGTTTTATGTCCCCAATTAGTTGCTTCTCTTTCTTCTGCTTCTCCGGTTCCACGATCCACTGTTTTAAAAATATAACTAACGCAAATAACGAGAAGCATCTCTATTCTGCCCTGAATGTTTGGCTCCTGGAAATACTGGAAATCTCAAGAGCAGTCTCTGTATATTGTTGATGTTATGTGTTATCAAGTCACCTCTGACTCATGGTGACCTATGAAGGAGCCATCTCTAAAATGTCCTGCCCTCAATTGACCTGCTCAGCTCTCGCAAACTCTAGTCTGGGGCTTCTTTTAGTGAGCCGATCCATCTCATATTTGGTTTTCCTCTTCTCCTGCGGCCTTCCACTTTTTCCAGCACGATTGTCTTTTCCAGAGAATCCTGCCTTCTCAGAATGTGCCCAAAAGAGTACCGTAAGAACCTCAGAAGAGCCCTGTGCTGGATCAGGCCAAGGGCCCCTTGAGTCCAGCTTCCACCAGATGCCAAATTAACAGCATATAATCACGACAATTCCGATCAACAGGACCCCTTAAACCCAGCCACGTGAGTTGGCTTCTGAGGCTCAAAAATCTCAGGATGTATTTATTTATTTAAAATATTGTTACCCTGCCTTCCTCATTAAGAACGCCTTAGTATTCAACACCAGGGTCATTTCAGATTTGATCTAGGATCCATTTGTCTGTCTTTCTGACAGCCTAGGGTGTAGGCTCTCCTCCAGCACTCTGTACATGATCTACTCAGTAGTAAGGGCTGGTAGATTTGCAGTCTTTATTTTCATTATTGATGCAGACCATCGAATCATTGAGCCAGAAGGGGCCTATAAGACCATTGAGTCCAAGCCCCTGCTCAATACTGGAGCCCAAATCAAAGCAGATCTGACAGAGGGTTGTCTGATTTCCTCTTGAATGCCTCCAGCTTTGGAGAGCTCGCCGCCTCCCAAAGCTGTGGGTTCCATTGTTATACTGCTCTAACAGTTAGGAAGTTTTTTCCTGATATTCAGATGAGAAAGATTTGGATTAAAATGCATCAAAACAGAACAAAAATGTTACATAAGTTATATGCACTGGTACCGTGTAGATATGAGAACTGCATAAAAATATTAATTTAAACTTGGCCATTCTAAATATTAGACATATCTAAATATCTCTTCTGGGTCTGTGGCACTATCCATGGATTTCCAGCCTGGCATTAAAAAAGAAAATCCTACAACTGAGTCTATAACCGGGTCAAGGGGGGAGCATATGTAGTGTCCTCATTGTGTGACCTAGCCACTCAAAGCCCATGTAGCAAACATCTACAATCATACACACACACACACACACAGAGTCCTAACAGTGTAATAACATTTCAGTAAAGTTCAGTAAAGTTTAGAAACTCAAGTGAAGTGAAAGAAGAAAGAAATTGGCTATTGCAGAAAAGGGGGGAAAACATCTATCTAACCATTGATGCATGCCATTCTCTTCACCCCACAACCTCACAAAACAGCCAGCAGAATGGCTGCAGGGGTAATAGACGTATCGCACAGCGACTTCTGTCAGAACTTTCCCTAGTGACTCAGTGGCTGAAGCGTCCAGAGAAGCTCTTGGGTTCTATTGGGGGATTCAGCTGTCACTCATCTTGTCCTTTGGCTCCATCAACTTAATCTACTGGATATCTTTCTATTCCTTCTTCCCTCGGTCAAAACAGCTGACCATCATTTTTAACACTACGAATGCCAAATGAGAGATGAAGGATCCGTTTTGATGTTGTTCTACCCAGAGGAGGAAAGCAGCTCCCGTAGTCTTCCTGAAATCGCAGACATGCCCGTGATTTGACCCTTCCTTCTTTTTTGTGCAAATTCTCTCTGCACACCTGCATAGAGGAGAGGCAGGATCGGTTCCCAAATCATCCCAGAGTGCAGGACACATCATAATGGGCTCAAGTCACAGGAAACCAGATTTAGGCTGAAGATTAGGGGAAAAAAACCCTTAACTGTTAGAGCAGTACGACAATGGAACCCAATGACCTTGAGAGATGGTAAGCGTTCCAATGCTGGAGGCCTTCCAGAGAAGATTGGACAGCCCTCTGTCAAAGCTGCTTTGATTTGGATTCCTGCCTTGAGCAGGGGGTTGAACTCTTATAGACCCCTTATAGACCCCTTTCCAGCTCCATTATTTTATGATTCTATGATTCTGCATTCTAAATCTCAATTATTGTGCTCCTTAATTGAGATGATTCCCTATTCCAATTTAGCAAATGCTTTTCTAGGGATGTGCTATTTATTTTTTTGGGACTACGAATCCCATAATTCTCATTCTGGGAGTTCTGTCTTATTACTTTCATTTTCTTAATGAGTGGGTTTTTTTAAATAGCATTTTAAATTCCTAAAGCGCCAAAGCAATATTTGATGCTTCAGAGAACCCTGCTCCTCTTCAAGTACCCTTGTTTTGCTTCCATCCACTTCACAAATGGATTGGTGTCCCTGTTTTGCTTTGGAATCTAAATAAATTCCAAAGCTTTATGGGCAAGGTTTTCACCCCAGAATGTTTATGAGTTTTAACTTGGGCCTCTGCTTAGCCACTGCTAGAAATGCAGCCTTGGACTATCAAATTGCCTCTGGATCTGTGGAATCGCTTGACAAAATGTCTCTGATGGAGTCCTCTTTTGTGGAAGTAGGACTTTTGTGGAAGTAGGACATCAGGTACAAGGCAGCAGCACTCCACTCAATCATCTTAGATGGGCATGTACCATATTTTTCTGTGTATAAGACGCTCCCATGTATAATTAAGAAATCTAAGTGGGGCTTAGCAAGTATAGGGGGAAAATTTAAGTGTGGCTTAGCAAGTGTAGGGGGGAAAGGGATCAAAGCGCTTTGATCCCTGCTTTCCCCTCCACTTGTTTTTGTTCTCTCCTCAGCTTACTTCCGTGTATAAGACGACCCTCAATTTTTAGTCTAAAGATTTTAGACAAAAGCATAGTCTTATACATGGAAAAAATACGGTAATAATGGGTTCAAGCTATAAGAAGCCAGATTTAGGCTGACTATGAGGAAAGACCTCCTAACTGTTACAGCAATACGACAATGGAACCAAATACTTCTGTAAGTGACGAGCACTCCAACGCTGGAGGCCTTCAAGAGAAAACTGAATAAGCGCGTGTCTGATCTGCTTTGATTGGGATTCCTGCCTAGAGCAGTGGGTTGGACGCAATGGCCTTCCATGATTCTATGACTCTACGAAATGGCCTGAGATGGTCATTTCTGAACAAGCCCTGGAAGAGGAGGAGGAGAAGGAAGAAGAAAAGGGGACAGGCTGAGCAGAAGCTGAAGTAGTTGTTTTGGGTTTTTCGGGCTTCTTGGCCGTGTTCTGAAGGTGGTTTTTCCTAACGTTTCGCCAGTCTCTGTGGCTGGCATCTTCAGAGGACCACGACAACCATTAGATCCCGGCCGTGAAAGCCTTCACAAATACACAGAAGCTGAAGTGTTTGCCTGACTGTAATGGGGAAGGGCATCTCCTACCTGCCTGGTTCGTGGTGATGTTGACAGTAGCAAATCTTGGTGGCTGGAGGCTAAGGTCGGAGACCCCATTCATGGCCTCTACAAAGAAGGAGTAGTTGGTGTGGGCCAGGAGATTGGCAACTGCCAGAGAGCCCTGGGCCAGGTTCATCTGCTGGGGCATAAAGCGGATCCCGGCACCACAGACCTCACACTGGCCCGAGTCCCACGCACAGCGGTGGCAAATCACGTTGTAGAGGATGTCACTCCGGCCTCCTTTGTCCAAGGGAGGGGCCCATTCCAGAGTGACCGATGTACCGTTCACACTGGACAGCAAGTTCATGGGAGCTGAAGGAGGACCTGGAAGAACCATCAAGAAAAAAATTACACAAAAAAACTATCAGCTCTCTAAAGGCAGAAAAAGGCTTCGCCCATCAACTGATACCCTTTGAAGTCTCAGCGCTAAGGTTGACGTTTGGGTCATTTGCTCTACAAAATACATACAAAGGTCAGTTTTTCTTCTGACCACAGCATTGGGCTATTAGAAGCACTCGAAAATGAAACTGGAAGAAGAGTTTAACAACAACAACAAGAACAACAACAACAACAACAACAACAACAACAACAACAACAACAACAACAACAACAACAACAACAACAACAACAACAACACAACATTGACATGGAAAGAGGCAAAACGGATAGGATTCTCCAGCCAGGTAGATGCCTCGGATGCTCTGTTTTTAAAAGTCTGTGTTGGAATATTTATAGCTGGGTTCAGTGGTTTAGGGGTTCAGGTATCTGGCTGAAGAGCTGCAGATTGGAGTTCAATTCCTCACTCCGCTGATTTCTGAGTCGTACCTGCCTTTTGCCTCTATCTATCATGCCTAGTGTTGTTTACAACAAGGCCCATATGGCCCCACACGGACTCACACCCATGCTTCATATATGCAGTCGGGGGAGGGAGTACATACGTGTGCAGGCTGCTGATGGGCGGTCCTGGGGGGCACGGTAAAAGCCGTTCTCACAGCGACACACCTGGGCAGCCTGGGTTTCAGAAGAGCTGTGTAGAGGGCACTTGGCACACAGCTGATCCCCAGGGGAAGACTTGTAGTATCCCAATTGACAAGCTAGAGGAGAAAGAGAAAGGAAGAAGATCAGAAAGCAAGATTTGAAGATGGGCATAGGACCTCCTTTTAAAACGAGCCACAGTGCAGCTCTGACCTGCCTGTGGAAGGACAGCCAAGATGGGGCCAAGCTGGCCTCCAGTGGGAGGGAGTTCCACAGTCTGAGGAGCAGCCACCTAGAAGGCCCTCTCTCTGGTCCTCACCAAACATGCCAGTGAGGGTGGTGGGACTGAGAGAAAGGCCTCTCCTGGTTATCTGAATACCTGGGCAGGCATATAAAAGGAGATGTGGTCTTTGAGATCGCTTGGACTCAACCTGTTCAGGGTTTTTAAGGTGACAAGTATTGGAAGAAAATGTGCATGGAATTCCAACGCGTACCGCCGTATCTAGACAGTGATAGATTAATGTCTTTGCTTCCCGGCCTCCTAATGCATCTCTGTGACTAGCCAGCCACCACCTGCTTGGGGAACTGACAGGCTTCATCACAGCAAGAAAGGGATGAAGTGGGAGGGCCCAGCCAAACCATCTGTACCTTGGTCCTTTCTACCCCCTGCCGTCTCCTCCTTTGGGGAAGGAGAGAACATCTGCTGATCAGCCTTCAGAGGGGTTGACATGATAGACAGACATGCCGGTCGAGAAGATGACAGCAGCGAAGCCTGTGCCTCTCTGCTAGGTAGCAGCTCGGAGCCAAGGGGCTGCGCTGTGCATCTAAAAGCAGCTCAGGGATGTGGAGGGAGCATTTGGAGCTACATGGAGCAGGATAAAAAATATGGGACCAGCTTCATCCCCAACCTATTGCCCGAGTCCAAGGTCCCACCAGGTCTCGACGTCCATTTCTAAACCTGGTCCGCTGGCTGATTGTCATTCTTGTTAATTTGAGCACACCTAACAGAGGGGCTATGTTTCCATCAAACGGTGTGGAATGGCTGGTTTTTCTGGGTGGCGGGTCATGAATCGCACCGAGGGGCGGATGTCACATCCACTTGTGCAATTTCGTGCTGCAGGAGAAACAAGTTCAGTAACCCACCAAAGTCGGTTAATGCCGGACCTGCCAGATGCAGTGCCTTGGAAATGTTTCAACAGCACATCCTCGTCGTCTTTGAACATCAGCCATGCCAGTCTGAGCTGACACAGTGGTGGTCCAAAATACCGGGATGGCACTGCGTGGTCATGCAAACGACGTGGGGCTGCCTCTGGAAAGTGCAGTAAATTTTGGCGGGTGTAACACATGGCAGCCAGATGGCAGACTGGGGTTGGTTACATGGATCACACAACCCGCCCATCACAGCAACTTCCCTGGCTGTTCACCTGTTTCTGGGCACAATTCAAAGTGCTGGTTCTAACCCCATAAAGCCCAAAAGAACTTGGGGTCCAAGCTATCTCAAGGACTACATGTTCCATTATGAGCCCGCTCGGGTATTAAGGTCATCAGGAGAAGCCTTCCTCTCAGTCCTGCACCTTCACAGGTGCATTGGATGGGGACACAAGAGAGAAGGACCTTCTCAGTCGCTGCTCCTTTAGACTCTGGAACTCCCTCCCACTGGAGGCCAGCCTGGCCCCCTCTTTGCTGTCCATCTGCAAGCAGGCAAACACCTTTCCTTTAAAGCAAACTTTCCCTCAGTGACTGACTGCCTGAGTAGGATTTTTAAATGGCTTGCTATGCCTTACAGCTTTGAATGCACTTCTGGTACTGTTTTTGCTTACCATTTTTCAAAAGGGTAGTTGTTTAATCCTTTTTACTGTTTGTATACTTCTTGTTTCAAGCTTTAAATATTGCCTTTTAATGATGTAATCTGTAAATTCATTGTTTCTAGCTTTAAATATTGTACAGTATTTTAATCGTGTAAGCCTTATGTACTCATTGTTTTTAGCTTTAAATATTGTCTTTTAATCGTGTAACCCTTATGTACTCATTGTTTTTTAGCTTTAAATTTTATTTTTCATGATTCAAGCCACCTTTACGTACTCATTGTATTTAGCTTTAAATATTTAATTTAAATATTGTCTTTTAACAGGGTAAGCCACCTTTATATTCCCATTCCTTTAGCTTTAAATTTGCCTTTTAATTATTTTAGCCACCTTTGTAGATCCCTTGTTTTTAGATTTAAAGGTTGTCTTTTTATGAGGTAAGCCACCTTCAGGTACTTTGTATTAAAACTGAAATACTGACTTGTCATGATGCAAGCCGCCTTTATTTATCTTATTTATCCATTTGACTCGTATGCTGCCTGCCCTCTGCAAGCGTCTCCGGGCAGCTTCCAACATCAATTAAAACAAATCAATTAAAACAGACACACTAAAAACCAATACGGATAAAACAATCTACAAAAACAATTTGGATCCATAACTATCCATTAAAATTAAAAACCTTCATTTAAAAACCTTACGGAACAGGAAGGTTTTAACCTGGTGCCGAAACGTCAGTAAGGTCGGCGCCAGTCGGATGTCGTTTGGGAGGGCATTCCAAAAACTGGGGGCAGCTGCCAAAAAGGCTCTCCATCTACAGCCCATCCCTCTTCCCTCCCTGAGAGACGGCTCTTTCAGGAGGACCTTCTGGCTAGATCTCAGTAAAGGTAAAGGTAAAGGTTCCCCTTGACAATTTTTGTCCAGTCGTGTTCGACTCTAGGGGGCAGTGCTTATCCCCGTTTCCAAGCCATAGAGCCAGCGTTTGTCCGAAGACAATCTTTCCGTGGTCACATGGCCAGTGCGACTTAGACATGGTTTAAAACCTTCAATTAAAAACCTTACGGAACAGGAAGGTTTTAACCTGGTGCCGAAATGTCAGTAAGGTCAGCGCCAGTCGGATGTCGTTTGGGAGGGCATTCCAAAAACTGGGGGCAGCTGCCAAAAAGGCTCTCCATCTACAGCCCATCCCTCTCCCCTCCCTGAGAGACGGCTCTTTCAGGAGGACCTTCTGGCTAGATCTCAGTAGCCGGGTAGTAAATTCCTTGGGTTTTTAGCTTTAAATATCATGTTTTAATGATGCCATGTGAATGAATGAATGAATGAATGAATGAATGAATGAATGAATGAATGAATGAATGAATGAATGAATGAATGCCCACGTCCCACGTCTCAGTAGCCAGGTAGTAAATTCCTTGGGTTTTTAGCTTTAAATATCATGTTTTAATGATGCCATGTGAATGAATGAATGAATGAATGAATGAATGAATGAATGAATGAATGAATGAATGAATGAATGAATGAATGAATGAATGAGGGTATGCCGAACTCATGTCTTTTGCTGCCTCTCAAATTCCTTCATGTATGGTATGCCGAACTCATGTTTTTTGCTGCCTCTCAAATTCCTTCATGTATGGTGGGAAACAGTCCTCACCGTATGGAAGGTGAACTCTGAGTCCCGTTTGACTGATAGTTCCGTACGCAGGGAGAATATGCTGGGAGTTCAAAATGTGAAGGAGTGCAGGCGAGGAAGCTCTGAGGAGGCCAACTCAACTTGTGCTGAGCTGACAGCACCCAGGTCTGGATAGTTCAGTACGCAGGGAGAATATGCTGGGAGTTCAGAATGTGAAGGAGTGCAGGCGAGGGGGCTCTGAGGAGGGCAACTCACTTGTGCTGAGCTGACAGCACCCAGGTCTCTCTGACAGGCGACCATCTCTGGGGATGTGCCTCGTGGTGACCTGTGAGGAATCGGAGCTCCTCCAAAGCACAAGCCCAGGTTGCTCCTTTCTGCTTCTTCCCCGGCAATGATGGTTTCCGAGGGACAGGAAGAGCAGGCCCCCGGTTCAGGCTCTCTCCCTCTGATGGGCACGTGGGTCATAGCCCGGTTAGCATAAGTGACACCGCTTTGGCAGGGAGTCCGTTGACGCGGCTCGAGCAGCGATCCCTGTGAAACGTAGAACTCTCCGTTGACCCCAGAAGACAAGCGGTGTCAGCTGGAGCTGGCTCAGGGCTGGGAGGAAGTTTTTTTTTCATTGCTAAGTTTCACAGAATGTGTCGGAACTTTGAGTTTTGGGTCCTTACAAAGTTGATGTCTTTTTTTGAAAACTGAAGAGTCTGCTTCCCCACATCCCCATGGGGGGAACCTATTCAGACCCCTGAAGCCAACATGAAGGATCTACCATGGATCTCCTACCTCCGACTGAAGAAGCTACTTGGAAGAGGAGTGAAACCTTTCAACTTAAGAAGGAAGAAGTCTACCTGCCAGGACTCAACTTCCAGATACAAATGTTCGATGTGGGAGGACAGAGATGATGATTTCTTCTAACACTCCAGAGCACAAGTCCATTACCCCACCACCTCCGTACTATTGAGCTATCGTAGGGACTTAAAGCTACCTGCACCTCGATTTCATTGCATTTCTCCCTCTGGTTACAGTTTCTGTCTTTGATTTGGTTTTATAGAATCATAGAATCGTTGAGTTGGAAGGGGCTGATAAAGCCATGGAGCCCAACCCCCTTGTCACTTTCTACAAGGGCTGATCAATGAGTTCAACAAATTAGCATATATTTGCCATCTTCTGTGGCTACTCAGACCTTCTTATATTTGAAGGACATGATCATGAGTCACATCTTTTAACTACTAATCCCTGAATTTAATTTAAGGATGCGAAAATCTTTCAGTCTGATTTCTGTCACACTCCTTCAGGTTCGACCCCATTTCCTTACCACACATGGGGTTGTAAATCTTAGTTGCTTTGTGGATTGATAGCTTTAGCCATCTTAGGTCATTTTTCGTAAAGCAGCCAGAATCATGTTGCGTTTGGGGCATGTAAACCCAGTCGGCATGACTGGCATGCTTCCAGATGGCTGTCTCATGTTTGACCAAGTTACACACTCAGTTGAGCGCTCAGTTCAAAGCTAAATTTCTAAGAACTAATGACTTTGATTTTAAAGTATATAGCCCGAAGTGCATTGGGTCGAAGCCATCTCAAGGACTGCCTCTCCCTTTATGAGCGGATTTTGATTTTAAACTATATAGCCTGAAGTGCGTTGGGTTGAAGCTATCTCAAGGACCGCCTATGAGCTGACTGAAGTGTTAAGATCATCAGGGGAGGCTTTTCTCTTGGTCTCATCACCTTCACAGGTGCATTTGGGGGGAACACTGGAGAGGGCCTTCTTGGTGGCTGCTCCCAGACTCTGGAACTCCCTCCCACTGGAGGCCAGGTTGGCCCCATCTTTACTGTCTTTCCTCAAGCAGGATAAGACCTTTCTCTTCAGGCAAGGTTTCCCTCGTGACTGGCTATCTGAGAAGGATTTAAAATCGATCGTTGTCCCTTCTTGCTTTTAAATGTATTTTGGTATTTATTTATTTTTTTAACAATTTTTATTATAACCATGATAATAATGGTGTGCCACTGTCAATTCTGACTTAGGGTCGCCCTTTTTCAGGGTTTACTAATTTATTTATTCATTTATTTTATTTTATTTATTTATATCCCGCCTATCTGGTCAATATGACCACTCTAGGCGGTCATATTGACCAGAGTAGAAAGTACTCAGAAGTAGTTTCTTATTCCCTTCTTCTTGGACTGTGCAGCTTGCCCAAGGCTACACAGGCTGGCTCTTCTCGTAGAGGTAGAATCAAATTCCCAACCTCTGGCTCCGCAACACTGAGCTATCCCTCCAGCTGGCATTTTTAATATAATATTTGTTTCGTTCTTTTAAAATATTTGCATACTTACCGCTTTTAGCTTTCAAGCATTGGCTTTTTTTAATGATGTGTGCTGCTTTGGGCCTTTTTTTAAGGAAAAAAGGCAGGGTTAGAAATATTTTAAAGACCGAAATCAATAATAAATACCAGGACAACTCTCTCCTATTCAGTTTGCCAAAATCTCTTCCTCTCAGTCTTTCAAATCAGAAGCCGAATTCTCAAAAGTTCCTACCCGAACATGGATCCACCACCCCATCTCTAAGTGCGGCTCATACAGAGCATCCTGCAGCGGGTAACCATCTAACTCGGATGAGTCTTTTCCCGGCAGTGACTTTGGCAGAGGTAACCTTGGGCTGAACATTGACAAGGCGGCTCCTCCACATGTCCTCGGAATACAAACAAAGCCGGCTGTTGGTATTTGCCAAGGCAACGCTTGGCGCCTTCTAAATGCGAAGCAACCGAAAGCAAACAAAAAACCTCCTGCGAGGAACGCACTGCGCCGGCTGCTGTACACATGTAGCCCCAGGCCACTATGCGCCAATGTTTTCCGCCCAGCTGTGTTTCCTTATCACCATTTATACAGTTGCGTGCTAGGAGGCCTTCCCGGGATCCCTACGTCCTCTCTGGGAAAAACCTCCTCCCAGCCGGGAGAGAGAGAGAACTCAGCAACGATGGACGAAGGAGATGACTTTGTTTCTCTCGACTTTGCTTTTGTGCCTTTGGGCTGTCATAACTACCAGCCCAAAGAAAAGGCAGGATTAGGGGGGAAAAGAACCGCTGATGGAGCCCGGGGACATCTCGGGAACAAAGCCAACTGCGCACAGCTGGAGGGAAAGCCGTTGGACCCATGTCAAATGCTCCATGCGCGAGAGGTTCATGATTGTGACAACCTCTGCTTAAAATGGATACAGCATCTCTGAAGTTAATGAAGAGTTTCTCGGCCTGAAGGAGTGAGGATTTCCAATTTTGCCTTTAGATGTGCTGATACCTCAGGCAATGCTATATACACAATTGGAATGGGTTGCAATAAATTCCGGGCTCCAGGATATTAACTATCAGATGCCTGATTTATGTTTTTTTTTCTGGTGCCTAATTTTACTTAGAATCATAGAATGGTGGAATGGGAAGGGGGGGCGCTCGAAGGCTATCGAGTCCAACCGCCTGCTCAAGGCAGGAATCCAAGATTAGACAAAGGGTGGTCCAATTTTCTCTTGAAGGCCACCAGTGTTGGAGCGCTCACCCCCTCTCGAGGTCATGGGTTCCATCGTCGTACTGCTCTAACAGTTGAGAAGTTTTTCCTGATCTTCAGGCAAAATGTGGCTTCCTGTCGCTGGAGCCCATGCTTTCCTGTCCTTCACTCTGGGATAACAGAGAACAGATCCTGCCCCTCCTCTGTAGGACTACATTTCAAGTGTTTGAAAAGGGCTATCCCATCTCCCCTTAGTCTTCTTTTCTCAAGGCTAAGCATGCCCATCCTCCTGAGGCTTAGTTTCCCATCCCCTGATCATCCTTCTTGCCCTCCTCCTCCTACTTCTTCCTCTATCCTGTTTTGTGCTTCCCTTTGACTCAGTGGTTCTCAACCTTGGTAGCCCAGGCCTTCTTAGACTACAATTCCCAGAAATCCCAGCCAGCACGGCTCCTGGTGAAGGCTTGTAGGAGTTTTAGTTCAAGAACATCTCCAGGACCCAAGGTTGAGAACTACCGCTCTAGATATAAAGAGAAGAATGATGATTCCAAAGTGTAGGAGTGTGGTCGCTGCTACTGATGACCTTGGAGATTTTACTTCCTAGACTACAACACCCAGAATCCCCAGCCAGTGCAGTCTCATGACCCTACAGGATGAACAGCCAGACTTACCTTGGCATGAGTCTCTTTGCTCCTCGTAGCCCGCGCTGCAGACGCATTTCCCAATGGGCACCAGCCATTCCCCTTCTGCGCTGCAGTACATTTTGGGGGTGTCTCTCTCCTCCGAGTGCCCCACACACTCTCCCCGCACCTCCACAAGGGATGAAGAATCTGCTCCAGTGACGGCCTCGGAGAAAGAGGCCAAGTTCCTCACCATGGCTGGGCATTTCTTGTAGTAGACGCGGAGAGAGACGATGGCAATGCAGGCCCCGATGTCCTGGAAGGCCAGGTAGAACCCCCGTTTGGTCAACGGCCCCACGCCGCGCACCTCCGTGTTGAGTTTGAGCCTCCGGACGCCCAGGTCCACGTTGGTGAAGCTCTCGTCGGCAGCGATGGTGTCAATCTTCACAAACTGGCTCTCCCGGGTGGTGCTGCCCAGGTCCCGATCCGATTGAAGGTAGTAGAGGTTGAATGTTTCCTTACAGGTGCCCAGCACTCCTGGCATGCTGTTGCAATCCCGGAGGGTGAATCGGATCTCGGCGTAAACTCGGTGCGCCCCTTGCCTCTGTATCCAACTAGTTCTCAACCAGTTGTTCTGGTTCGGGGACATGACATTGCATACTTGGTACGTGTGGATGGGGTTGAAGAATTCGTCCATTTCATTGATGGAGTCCCACTGGGAGAAGACAACAGAAGAGGGCTTTTAAGGGTGATGCATGAGATAGATACCTACTCACAACACAAAGGTAAGTCACAAGAGGAGCCCCATTGGGATCAATGGACGTTATGGAGAAGTTGACTCACCAAATCGCCTCTGATTCAGTGGTCTACTCTCATGGCAACTTAATACTCTAAGCCACAGAACAGCCCTTGGTTCCTTATGGTTTTACTCTGGTGGCAACTCAGTACTCTAAGCAACAGAATTTCAGCCCTTGGTTCCTTATGGTTTTACTCTGATTCCACCTCCCCTCCCCTGCTCCCAGTGTTGATGATTGACTGGTAGCACTTTATTGCTTTGGTGGTGATGGTTTTCAACAGATGCCGTAATGATTCTGTATTTTACACTTATCTGTTTCTAATGAGATTAGCTGCTCTGGGTATTCTTTTTGGGATCGGGGAGGAAAACATATTGAATCAAGAAAGGATAGATTGAGAAATGAAAATCCACATTTATAAATTGAGCCCCGAGGACGATGATCTCATAAGATGTGTTTAATACACTTAAATTGTTTGGGGTGTTGTTTCTGTGCACTCAAAGAGGAAGCAGAAACACCGTTCTACTTTGTCCAGCTGGCCTGAGAAATCTGCCACCAGAATGATCTGCCACGAGAACTGATCTAACGCTAGGATCTGTTGGACCTCTCTCTCTCTCTCTCTCTCTTGGCATGCTGCCTTTAGTAGTTTTTACTGGAAGGGACCTTTGCTTCTTCCTAACTCTAAATTCAAAGAGAGCCCCATTTCTCTACTCTGTGTCTTTCCCCTCCTTCTTTGTAGTCTGTTGAACTCTGGAAATTTCTTTGTTGAAAGCAGTCCTGTTTGTCAGTTTGATCAGTTATAAGCATCAAACCCTTCCAATGTCTCAGAGTGAGTTGCCGAGACTGCAAATGCCAGCGGATGAAAAAAAAAAGAGGGGGGGAAGCGAGACTAATCTGGAGAGCTTGAAGCTATTCTACTGTGTGAGCACCCGCAATTCTGCTGTGCAGAGGGAGGAATTCAAGCAAAATTCAAAACTTTGCATCAAGACCTATACTGGCAAAAGAGCAAAACGAAGAAGAGGAGGAAGACCAGCGGAAGCAGCAACGGGGTCGAAGAGGAAGGAACAATGTTATAGCAACACCAAACCTCCTTCAGCCCAGGGACACAGCACAAGGCGAGCACAAATTTAGTCCAGGGTGAGCGATATGCCAAGTCTCACTTCCTAAGGGAGGAATTGGTTTGGATTTATCAGAATTTCAACAGGCCTAACATTGGCTCAGTTGAACCTTGGTCATCTTGTCTAGTTAGAACTGGGCCCTAGCGTAGCAGTTTTGTACTAGTGTACATGGAAGAAAGCCCTCAGTGGGCCCTCGTGGGATTTACATCAGAGGAGACGTGGATCAGAGTGTGCCGATGGGCCACAAGGCAGGACCCACTTGCCTGGGAGCAAGCCTGCTGAACTCAGTAAGTCTACCTTCTGAATTGAGATGGAAAAGATTAATAAGCAAACACCAGGTTCAAAAATGCCAATCGTGACAAGATCGGCCGTAATATTGACCAGAAATGTGATCCTCGAAGAAAGAGGTGTCCGTCTAACGAAATGGGAGGCAGAGAGCCAGCAAATGGTGGAAACGACTAGAGCAGGTTCTCTTTTGCTGGTATGGGTGATGCCTCTCTTTTTAATTTTTTTTTTTTAAATGAAACAGCTCTTCTCCCATGTCATTGAGATAAGGACCCCTAGCAAGACGAAAATGAGGACATCATAATTAATGTGCCAGGCAAGTGGACCTGATTACATCTGTATTCAGGAACTTAGCTAACAGTTTAAATTAAAGTCAACACAAGATTTAGGTGGTGGTGGTGGGGGGAAAGCACAGATTATAAAGGGGATAAAGATGCAAATAATAGATATCAGCGCGGCATAAGCTTAGCTGAAAGAAGACGGAAGGGGGAAGTGTAGAAGCTTTCCTGGAGAAATTACAGCGGCTGCTCTGCTTGTCTCAGTTCATTTGCCAAACAATTTTGCAAATGGTAAATTCGTTTGCTAAACGACACACACACACATGCACTGTTTTGCAAGCTTTATTCACTTTTGGCGAATCTTCACAGGTCAACGATGACCAGTGAACATCTTGAGGTTCCCCGGTTTTAACCGTGCGTCAATCATGAGGACTCTTGTTGGTCCATCTTATTGTTAGAGCTTGCAAATAATGAGTTATTGGCTGTCCTGTGCCTGAATAAACGCGCCCGGATCAGGACCTGATCTGCCCGGTGGTCTTCGAGGAAGACTCTGTTCTGATCCAATCAAGGTAGAGATCCATGCTGATATTTGTGAGTTACTGAATCTCCATGAAAAAATTCTGTTCCCGTGAATGGGGAAAAAGCAAAGAGGTTGGGAGTGAGTTCGATTCCCCCGCTGTGCGAAGAGCCAGCCTAGGTGGCCTTGGGAAAGCTGCACAGTCCCAGGGTGCCCCGCAGAGGAAGAGAATGGTAAACCACTTCTGAGTCTTTTCAACCTGGAAAACCCTGAATAAATCAGAATTGACTTGATGGGACATGACTCTCTCTGTGTGTGTGTGTGTGTGTGTGTGTGTGTGTGTGTGTGTGTGTGTGTGTGTGTGTGTGTGTGTGTGTGTGGTGTGTGTGTTGTGTGTGTGTGTGTGTGTGTGTGTGTGTGTGTAAACATTTAAAACTGTATACAAGCTGGATCTAATATGAGATATAAAGGACAGCAGCTTCCACAGGCAGTTTCCTCCACCTCATGGTTGCCTGGCAAGCACACAAATATTCCTGATTTCAACACTTTGTAATGAACAGCTAAACTACATTTACTGCGGCAGCACTCCTCAGTAAGCAGTGCTCTTAGAAATCTCATTATAGTCGTTTTGACTGCACAAGTAATTTGTTGCATTTTGTATTACTAATGCACGCAGTTGCAATTACCTGTTAAGCAAAAGGAATTCCAACAAACCGACTTTTCTTCCCTCTAGTGGCCAATTCTGATATTGCACCTTAGAAGCGTTTATAAAAATAGAAAAGAGAAAAAAACTTGGCAAGAGGATGGCGTAAAGACCTGAAAAAGCCTTGTCCACATACCCCTAAAAATGTTTTAAATACTTTGGAAAGCAGCTGCTGAAAGTAACTGTTACTTTTTATGCCTTACTCATGACACCAAGTCTAACTGTGTTACGACTAGTCGTGTCTGATACTTACCCCATGTGAAGGATAAGTGAGCCACCCCCAGTCCCCGATGATGGTGGAAGTGTCCAACAGATTTACTGCAAAACACAGGAGAAAAAAATATTCATTATAGTTTTTAGATGATGAAAATGATGATATTTGACTTATTTCTCAGAATTTCTCCACAGCTAGCTTTGCGTCTCCTTTTTTTTGGTATGTACTTGTCTCAAAATTCAAATTTTGAAATCCTTTTTGTCCTCAGAAGATGCATCCCTAAAGAGTTTATACTTAAAATATACATCCAAAACCTATTTCTTAAAATACACTTCCTTCCTTTCACCCACCATCAGTTCGTTCCTTCCTTCCTGCCTGCCTTCCTTCCTTCCTTCCTTCTCCATCCATCCATCCATCCATCCATCCTTCCTTCCTTCCTGCCTTCCTTCCTTCCTTCTCCATCCATCCATCCATCCATCCATCCTTCCTTCCTTCCTGCCTTCCTTCCTTCCTTCTCCATCCATCCATCCATCCATCCATCCTTCCTTCCTTCCTGCCTTCCTTCCTTCCTTCTCCATCCATCCATCCATCCATCCATCCTTCCTTCCTTCCTGCCTTCCTTCCTTCCTTCTCCATCCATCCATCCATCCATCCATCCTTCCTTCCTTCCTGCCTTCCTTCCTTCCTTCTCCATCCATCCATCCATCCATCCATCCTTCCTTCCTTCCTGCCTTCCTTCCTTCCTTCTCCATCCATCCATCCATCCATCCATCCTTCCTTCCTTCCTGCCTTCCTTCCTTCCTTCTCCATCCATCCATCCATCCATCCATCCTTCCTTCCTTCCTGCCTTCCTTCCTTCCTTCTCCATCCATCCATCCATCCATCCATCCTTCCTTCCTTCCTGCCTTCCTTCCTTCCTTCTCCATCCATCCATCCATCCATCCATCCTTCCTTCCTTCCTGCCTTCCTTCCTTCCTTCCTTCCTTCCTTCCACCCATCATCAGCTCCTTCCTTCAGACCAGAGTGTTGTAGAATTTAAAATGATGGTAAAAAAATTAACAACAAATTAAAACATTAGAAATCATTGACATTTGGGTCATTTTGCTCACCAGCAAGTTTGCAGTGCAAAATGGTAGCCAACTAAGGTCACGTCTGCCTTCATGCTTGTCTCAAAAGGTTGGAAAAGTTCAGATCATGGTTTGATTCTTTAAAGCACAATGGCAACAATGATATTTTGATCATACATCAGTTTAAGCTGGACCAACGCATTCCCGTCCGCACCTTCAGTCTAAATATCCAGAAGCAAAGCTGAATATAAGTGGTGACCCTGGAATCTTGCAGTGTGAACGTGTTTTCACCCCAAGGGGAATGCTCTCCTATCCCAAACAGTGCTTTCCTATTTCCTCATTATAACCTTGACTTTCCAGAGGATCTCAGCACCGGGCTTTATAGTTGATTCCCACGTCTTACGGGATTTAATCCAGGTTTGAAGTCGGCACACAAAAGCCAAGGTAATTATGCCCTGTGGTGCACAGTTACTACACCCTTCACCCTACCCTTTCCGCTCACCCGCTTGAAGCAGGACGAGTGTTATCTCCCAAGTGGGGGAGCCATGGGGTGGAGGGGACAGCAGGGGGGAATCAAAGTTTCCTGCTCCAAAGTTCTCCATCCCCAGGGAGTCCAGCTTAAGTTAATGAGGAAGCCCACGCCAAGCTCACGACTCGTGCTGTGGAAACAAAATGATCTCAAACATTCACATGAAATTCATTCTAATCCAGTGTTTATGAGTTGAGGGAGGAGGCTGAATGAATAGCAAGAGGCCAAGTCTAGCTGCCTGCCACCTGGAAGTAACTAGGTACTGCTTCGTTGCTTATGAATCAGTTACTCAGTCACCATAACTCAGAACTGACGCGATGGCCCATGATTATTAGCTGGCTGGAGAGCAAAGTGACTTAGGTCTCTGCCTGTGGATTCAGAGGTTGGTGGTTTGATTCCCCCACGGGGCCTCCTGGGAGAAGAGCTAGCCTGGGTGGCCTTGGGCCAGCTGCACAGCCTCAGAGCACCTCAGAAGAAGGAGGGAATAGGAAACCACTTCTGAGGACTCTCTCCCTGCTAAACCCTGAAAAGGGTCGACATTGGTCAGAACTGGTTCGATGCCACATAATTATTAGCTGGTTGGATAGCTCAGCGGTTTAGGCAAAGGTGGGGAATTGGACCCCCGCTGTGCCTCCTGTGAGTAGATCCAGCCTGGGTGGCCTTGGGCAAGCTGCACAGTCCCAGGGCAACCCCAGAAAGAAGGAGGTGGTGAGCTGCATATTCTTTATGGGGGAAAACCTGAAAAAGGGTTGTCGTAAGTCAAAACTGACTTGAGGGCACTTGATTATTTATTATAATAGATTCCTCACACACACACACACACACACACACACACACACACACACACACACACACACACACAGGCATAAAGATAATTACAATTAACAAAGGAAAGCCACTCCTTTTGCAACATGACTTAAATTGTTGGGGCGTCTTTCATCGTACGCACTTTTATGCGCAGTTTGCAGTTATTTTCCTGTTGGCTGTTAAATGGGCTTGAGTGGTTTGAGATCTTTTCTACAGAATGTCCCCAATGAAACAGAAATTTGCTGCCCTCTGCTCTCTGCCACCTGAGACCAGTGTCTTGTACAGCCTCACGGTAGAGCTAGCCCTACTTGGAATATTAACTGTAACCCATTCCTTTTAACGGGTCTCTTTCGATACTCTGGAAATATGGCTCCATCCAATCCCTTGCTAGCTGCCCCAGGCCATTTATTGCAGGCAATGTGTTGATGGCGTTAGATAACGGGGAGAAAACAGCTATCATCCCATCAACCGTTTCCCTGGGCTTTGCTCATGCCCTGAGCGGAAGATTTTAAATTCCGGCCGCAAACCCGTCAATAGCTTGAGCGAAAAGGCTGATCTGCCAGCTCATTGTCGAGCAGTTAACCTTCTCTTGGATAATATAAGGGCATACGTAGAGTCTTGCTGGATTAAGCCAAAGATCCATCACCTCCTGAGTTTTGCTCCAAGGAGTAACGAGACGGTAATTCCAAAGAACTGGCATGCAAGGTATGGAGGCAGGAGGTGGATTCGAAACCTCCGCACCTTGTTCACCCACTCTGGCCGGACGCTAGAGCTCAGTGGCTTGGTATGAAGGTGTCTGTGTGTTCTTTGTGCATATGGGGATGGTATTAGTCTGAGAGACAGTGGGTACATGCAGGTGGGTGCATGATGCCTTGTGAAAGAAGGCATGGATTGATTCAGTAACAGAAGTCTAGTCTCCAAATCCCGCAAGGTGATAGTCCCTCTCGATTCAGCACTGGTTAGGCTTCTTCTAGAGTCCTGTGTCCAGTTCTGGAAGGATGCCAACAAACTGGATTCAAGTTCAGAGGAGGGCGACAAGCATACTCAGGGGGCTGGAAACCAAGCCCTAGGAGGAACGACTGAAAGATCTCTGGGCCTGTTTAGTCTTGAGAAAAGAAGACTGGGCCTGCTTAGTCTTGAGAAAAGAAGACAGAGAGGAGATAGGATCACACTCTTCAAAGGGGCAGGATACCCAGAGTGTGTGGTGCACACACTTTTCAAAGAAAGGTAATCCTATGTGAGAGGGGCAGGATACCCAGAGTGTGTGGTGCATAATAATGGGCTCAAGTTTCAGGAAGCCAGATTTCGGTTGAACGTATAAGAAAAAACTTTCTGAATGTTAGAGCAGTACAACAATGGAACCCGGAAGAGGTGAGCACTCCAGCACTGGAGGCATTCAAGAGGAGATCGGACAACCCTCTGTCAGATCTGCTTTGATTTGGATTCCTGGTTTGAGCAAGGGGTTGGACTGAATGGTCTTATAGGTTCGGTGGTTCGTGCCAGTTCATTTTCCGGCTGAATCGGAATTCAGCACTTCTCCGCCCCGCCTCCTCTGACATGCGTCCACTCAGAGGCAGCCCCCTGGCTTCCTTGCCCCGCCTCCTCCAGGCATTGCCTCTGAGTGTCCACCCACTGGAGGAGGCGGAGCTGGGAAACACCCAACAGCTCTTTGGCCGAAAAAAACAAACTCGCAGTTTAACAGTTTGCGTCCGTCTCTGTTCCATAATCTTCAGCATGACACACCTTTACACAATTTTATCCTCACAGTGAGATTTCTCATTGCAAAGAGCTGTTGTTTTGTTTTTCGGTGAGGACCCTGACAGGAAATCTTGTCTGATTTCCTGAATGTTTTGTGGTAGTTCTTTTTTCCCCTGGGGGGGGGGAAACCCAATCTGCACAGAATAATTCCAGTTCTGGCACAAAATGGCGTCTTTTATGGGGGGGGGTGAGATTTCCTGGAAGCCAAAGGGAGCTGTGTTGAATTTGGCAGTTTCATGTGCTTGAAACAATTCATCATCATCATCGCTGTACAACATTTTTTGTTTCTGCCACTTCCACAGGTTTGTATTACAGACAGGGATCCGCACGACGGTATTCCAGCCTGCGAAAGGGTCGCACACACATACATACATGCATGAACGGAGAATGTAAAATTGGGAGGGGCAGAGAGAGGCTTCCAAAGAATGGAAAGAACAAAAGCTAACTGTGCAATTCCATAATTAACTTGAGAAATTAGTTAATTAATTTTAGAAATTAAGTAATTAAACTGGAATGCAGAAGGAGTGGAATGCAGAGCAGAGGAAATCGGACGTACAAGGGGAAAAAACTGGAATAAGGGAAATCCAGAGGTCGGCATTAACAGTTTGACTGTAATGCATTTAGCTAATTAAGGTATCGTTTTGGGAAACAGGGGGCCAACTCAATTAAAAGGGTTTTGAAACTTAAATCACTCTATTTCATTTTAGAAATTGCTGGAACTTAAATGGCTAATTTAGTTTAAATTGAATTGGCAGAAAAAGTTACTTTTTTGGATTATAATTGTTAAAATCTCCCAGGTGATGACTGTGTTGTAAGAGCCACAATAAAAAAAGTAACTTCCAATCTCTAGTTTGGACTACGGGAGTTACGTCTTTCTGGTTAGGTTTCATGGTAGTCGTATAATTTTATTTTATACAACTATTTCAATTTCAGTTTAACTGTT